TCCGGATATCAAGCAGTGAAGTGTGATAGGAGGGGTGTGTCTGTAGAGGAAGTGTTGTTAAGAAAGGCCTGTGTTGGTATTCGCTTGGGCGAGTATGGGGGCGGGAGAACTGCGCTTGAGGGGAGAGAGACTATGCCTAGGCAGTGTTCGCAAGAGGCCAGTCCGTTTTCGGGGGCTCATCTGGCTGGGCCCGGCTGGACTGTAGATATCCGCAGGCTTTTGAGTGATCAAAGGTAATTGCCCCAATTCCGGTAGGGTTTAGAGTTCCAATAACCTTGAGTAAACGGAACTAGTGCATATGATACGTCAACATTCTCTGCACAAACATTTCTAGAATTGGTCATATGTTATGATATCTCGACGGTAAATTCTGATCGGTTCAAATTATATATTATTTTCTGGAGTTGAGGTTTCCACCAACACGCCACTCCAGCCTATACAAAACAGGTTTCAAACTAGCTAGTTAGTTTTGAGGGTGCAAATATGAGTATAGAACTGGAGTCCGAGCTAATATTCTGGCTCAAGTAGTTGCATTCAACCAGATCATTAGTGTAATTAGAAAGGAAGGAGTTCTAGTTGCAGAATGGTTAGGATGAAGGTTCCCGGGAGAATTCGGGTTTCATGATGATTCTGAAGGGGTAGAAGCAACAACTTGGTAATTAGATAATTTCTAACGAGCAAGCAATTTATCTACCGGACAATTTAGGAATATATCAAGTGTTATGAAATCGCCTCCAATGCTTTCCCAGGACTAATCTACTGGGAGGCACTTTGAGATATTGCATCGTAATGGAGGACACCCGCTAATATCTATAGATGTCTGTGGGTATTGTCAGATATTTGCGAGTATTTTCAGGTATCTGCGGGTATCTTCAGGCATCTGCAGACATCCCCAGGTATCCGTAGGGATCTTTAGGCATCTGTGGCTCACTTCAGAGATTGGTGGGTATCTTTAGGCATCTGCGGACATCTGCGGGTATCTTCAGGTGTCCTCTGCGCATTGACAAAATAGTTACTAACTGTATGGCACATACCGAGAGCCTGCCGGCACCTCCAGACACCCACATTGCCCTTAGGCTTGAGAATTCACGGCCTACAAAGCCCAGGTTAGTTTCACTTTGACCTGGCCTGCCTAGAATTTGTATCTATAGGCTATCTGCAGGGTGGCCTGGCCGCTCGCGAACACTGTACCTAGGTTGCATTGGTGTAGCGAGGGGCCACAGCACTTCTACTGTGCCTGCGGTGTAACGCTCCCTCGAGCTATATGAGGTCTATCATAGCTTGATCTTGGTATGGGAGCTATGTCGGAGAAATATTGCGCTCGCGAGACGCGGAGCTGGCCGTTGGAGTTTTGACCGAATACCTACAACAGGACCAATTCCTACCTTGCCAAACCCCTGGAAAGTAGCAATTATACCAGAAAGTTGGACGTGATAGGGGTACAAGGAGATTGCGTTTGGGGGATTGACATTTCTCGATCCAACTTGGCCTGTCCCACTTTCTGATAAAAATAGCAGGTAGCATACACGGGACACCTGGTTTAATACCAGAGGCTATGGCTAAGTCTATACTGGGTGTTGAGATCAACTCACTGGTCCTGGGATCACCAGTTACACTACCGGAAGACCAAGAACAATTGAGAAACTTGAGAAACTGGCGAGGGTGTGAAGAATTTCTCCTTTTGCTTTAATTGGGGGGGGGGGGGAAGATAGTGGACGGGCCCCTTTCAGCTGCCAATCAGACCTGGCGAGATTCTCAATTATCCCATCCCTTGCGCTATATTTTGTACCCTAGATTCAATGATATGTTTTTCTTTGGCCACCCATGTGATTCGTCAAGGGAAAGCGAATTGAAAGGTGTTTGTAACTTATCAAGTTATTTGGCCATGGGTTTTTGCAAACTTATAACGATCAAAAAGCACGTAAGGGTTTATTGATTCTGGTGCGTGGGACGAGTGGTCGAGTGATATATGATGAATCGCCACTTTGGCGCCATCATAAAATCACACTCGACCGAGTGAAATTCCATAGATACATGGTATCCATTGTGGGTAGCGGATTAGAAAGGGGTTCTTGTTCCATAAAGTTTTGATACATTGTGCCGGTCCAGGCTAGATGCTATTATCGAATGGACATCAAGGCATATTTGTATTGTAGCATCTGATGAGAGAATACCTGGCTAGCATCACTGGGGTTGCCTCATAGACCTGATGAGACAAAAGTACGGATCGGTTATGGGAAAAATAAAGAATGCCAGACCAGCTATTATGAAGTTCAAGTTATTCAACTAAAAAATATCCTATACCCCAGGCATGCGGCCTTCAACCAGACAGGACTGTTTTTCTATCTTTTAATGACAATTATCAGCAAAGGCTAAAGTACTATAAAGGCAGAAATGTGAGCAAATACGGGTAGGGATATCCAAACCATCTCCTAATCTATTCGGGACGCACTTCCATCAGCTTTCGCTCAACTTGCAGTGTCGCCGGTGTGTTGGCCACCGGATCGATGAAACTAGGCTTCAACGCGTTGCTCTAGCATATCAAGGTCTACTACCAAGGCCTCCATCAAGGCCTCCTTAGCGTCAGAAATGCATGAGGCTGGAAGCTCGATAATCTGGGTTTGATTACTATCCCCATTTTTAGCGGGAGTAGACTTCTAGTCTGACCTCTTGGTAATGAGGGAGGGAAATTCCTAGTACCTTGGGTACCAGTGAAGCAGGTAGGCCTTGTACTCACCTTGGCAGGCCCAGAGGAAGTGCGATTGTGGCTTTGGCCCCAGGTTAGTGGAGGTGAGAATAGCTGCAATCTGGGGAACCAGGGGAGCGGCTTCGGTGGAGGATGGCTGGTCACTGGACATTTTGGATTTGTAGTGACTGTTTGCAATTCAAAACGAAGCAGTGGGTAACATGGAGGTAGGGGGGGAGATATGTAGTGGAGGCGGTATGGGTAAAGGTGTGTTTCGTTGTGTTTTGTGGATTAGGATGGAGTGGGTGAAATGTGCTTGTAGGCAAGCAATGACCCTAGGGTTTAGTTGTATCTGTAGGTGTTCCGGACTTTTTTCTGAGCTTGAGGCGTAGCGTTCCCTCGGGCTATATGAATTGAGCTTTTGCGGCAGCAGGGGGTGGGAGAGATAGGGCCTGGAGCCGGTGGGAGATTTATGCTAAAATGTGGGAGTGGAGGTTCACGCTGGCTCTGAATACCTATCATCCAAGTCAGTCCATTCCCTCTTTCTGGAACTTCTAGAAGGTCTCATATACTTGACAAAGTGATAGGTAGCTAGGATTGATTGGTTCCCCGGGGGTGGTACAATGAGTTTGTGTTACAGGAAATGGACATTGTCTATCGGTACCTGACCTGTCTGGCTCTCTTCGGAGAATGAATAGTGGGTAGTATGCTGGTATAAAAACAGCTCAACTTAAATCTGGGAGGCTGTTGCTACATCTACGCAGAATGTTCCGGTTACCCCTCCCACCCTGAAACAAGGATGTACGCCATACCCGGATGGCCAGAGTCAGCAGCCTAGGTTAATCTGTACAGCCTGGCAATATGGAAATGTGATACGAGCCGAAATAAGTTCAGATGTCAGTTCATTTTGTTACAAACTTTTATCAAGGCTTAAAAAGATTTGAGACCTGATTGATTCAAAGGCATAAATTGATGGATTGAGTAGTATATCACCATGCCCATCTTAGCGCCATCACAAAGCTACCCTTGACTGAGTGGAATTTCCCAGTGTTCAAATCATGGTAGTAGATCAGGAAGGGATTATCATTCTATGAAATTTTGATTCATTGTGACAATTGAGGCTAGACAGTATTTTGTAATCAGCATTACCATCTATCCATGCGGTGGCTGCAGGGAATTGAATAGCACCCAGGATCAATGAGGTTGGCTCGGGAACATGATGGGACCAAAGTACTGAATGGTTATAAGAGAAATAATACCATCCAGCTATTATTACGAGAATCAGCCAATATATATTAGATACTACACCCATGCAGCCTCCTGCAAGTCAGAACTGTTTTCCGTCCTGTTAATGATAAGCATTAGCATTGTTGACAGTAACAGAGAAGAAGAAATGTGGGAAAACACAGAACTACGAGCAAGATTGGGGCTAGGAATAGACAAACCATCTCCAAATATATTCAAGGTATGAGGCCATATATCCTCCCTTGGTTCGTCTCGCCGCTGGTGTGACCATCAGCAGACGATGATACTAGGTTTCAATACTCTGTTATAGGATCTCAAGGTGATCAATCAATCACTTCTTGGCATTAGACAGTCCTGTAGGCCAAAGCTCGATAAGCTATTGATAGTGCCTATCCTGGTTTGTGTGGCGGGTACTCTGGTAGTTGGACACTCGAATGGTAATAAATAAGTTAAACTTTAAGCTCTAATGTACTAGTGATGCAAATAGATGCTGTACAAAGTCCAGCTGGACTGAGGAAAGTGGGATTATGGCTTCTGCCTCTGGAAGAAGGGGGGCAAAAATAGCTTCAATATTGGGAGCCAGGAGAGCCGCTCCAGTGGGGGGATGGCTGGATGCTGGGCACCTGGCTTGTCCGGCTCTCAGAAAATGATTGGTAACATACTAGAGATGCTTAACCCAAATATCACAGGCTGTATGTGATCAAATTGAATTAGAGTCTTTTGTGACTGGTGTAAGGAGATCACGTTTAATCAATTGTCATTACTTGATCCCACTTGCCCTGTCGAGATTTCTGATAAAATAGAAGGTAGCATACAGGAAACACTCAACCTAATGGTGAAAGCTATCATCAAGTCTGTATTGAAAATCAGTTAGGAGATATATGATAAACAGGGACTTTGGAGGTGTCATGAAATCGGACTTAGCCAAGTCAGATTCAGTGGATATATGGTTTCCTGTATGGATAGCAGATCGAGGAAGGAATTATCGTACTGTAAAACTTTATTATGTTATGTTGGTCTAAGCTAGACTGTTTTTCCCACCGGACAGCAATATTAATTTATGCTGTTGCTAATAGATGATTGGTACCCCTGCACATGCTGCCTCCGACGAAACAGGAGCATTTCTCTTATCTATTAGTAAATGATCTTCACACATGTTAGCTAGAGCAAAGTGTAATATGGAGGCGGAAAAGGGTGCAAACATATGAAGGTGGGTAATATTTGATCTAGAGATGCATAAACAAACTCCTAATACACCAGAGATGGACGATTTCCTCTAGGGCTCCAAGGTTAGCCACCAAGGCGTCCTTAGCTTCAGAAACAGTCTCAACCAAAAGCTCAAGAATCTCGTCATAAAGCCCATCGGGATTTAAGCCGAGAAGGACCACGTAGCTGACCCTCTGGAGTTCGGCGAATGCGTTGAATTCGTCGTTTACTTCGTTCCAGCGGAGGGCGTAGGCGCCGTAGATGGCCAAGGTGGCCAGCGGAAAGTAGGATGGAGGCTTCGGGACTTCATCGGAGGGTAAGAATATAGCAGGGATACTGGGAGGTGGTGGAGGGGCTCCTGCCGAGGGTGGCTGAAGGTTAGACATTTTGCTTGACAAAGGTTGATTTGCGGTGGGAGTGGGAGAAATAAAGTTAGGTGGGAGTTGCGGGGAGATGTGAAGCGGGGGCGGTGTTGAGGGTGTTGAGAAAGGTGGGTCTTGGTGACTTGTACTGGCTAAGGTGGGGGCCTACGCAGAGCACTTGGAGGGAGGCAAGGGCCTCTAGGTTTTTGTGATGTGGGGAAGTACTACAGCCCTGTTACCGTGCCGCTATTGTGATTTTCTATCTTGCTATATGGAATCCAATCTTGGCAGCAGCACTAGGACTGAGAATGATAGGCATGCTGAATCAATTGAAGCTAACAATTATGATGCTGAAATGAAGATGTGAGCTCTGATTAAGTACATACAACCGAACCCCCTGCTTTCATGGAGCCCCAGGAAAGTGGGTCTCTTTGAGGAATTTACATTTGGTCGACATGCCGTAGTGGCCCCGAAGGCCGGCTCAAGGAGATCCCATTGAAGTAATTGCCTTGCCGTTATCCAATCGCACTTGGTCTTAGAAAAATAGACTGTGGAATACTAGTGACACTTAACTCATTTGTCGGCGCTGTTACTAAGCCTATTCCGAACCTTACAATCACCCCAAACCAGGCACTTACACAATACCAAGAAGGAGAGTTTTTTTCTACAACGGGGGGGGTCTGAACTGGGAAATGAGTGGGAACCTATCCGGGAACCAACGTATTTGGCCTTAAGCTACTACTAAAGCAAAACAGTACAAAGGCTTGCAGAGTTCATTTATTCAGATGGGCCAAACTAGTAATCAGTCGATGACTGATCGATGGTCACTTTAGCGTCATCCTGAGGTAGCACTCGGCAGTGAGATTCCGGGGAAATAAGGTTTCCTTGCGATAGCAGATTGGGAAATTTCTCTCATTTTAGAGACATTTCGATATGTTTTCGTGGGTAGGGAGAAAAGCGATTGGCGAGCCGGTCCTAGGAAGACTGGCTTGTTCGTCGCCCAATGCTATTTTGTGATAGCATCCCTGGCCACCGGTACAGTCGATTCATGAACCTTACAGAGCTAGAAACTGAACTGGAGGAGAATTGTAGGAGGTATCAACCTGGCTATTATTCGTAGAGTCGATTAATGGATCGTCGGTGAGATAGGACTATGCATTTGACAAAGCAAGGCTGTTTCATCGCATTGATTAATTGATATTCAAAATAATTATCGGTTGAATCTAGCAATAATTTAGGCGTCGAAAGAGAGAGCATGAAGAGTGAGCACAATCGATCGCAGAGATACAGGAAATCTCCCATTCCATCCAAAACAACATACCTTCTATCTTCCTTAATTTCTAACTTCACAAAAATATGCCTAATAGGGCTCAAACTGCCCCAATTCCGATTTGGACTCCAGCTCCCAGTCATCCGCGGTCCAAGGCCTCCCTGGCATTCAGAATTCTCGTAGCTGGGGGCTCCGAGACATAGTGGCCCTCATCATCGACCTCAGGGTGTGCGTTTCTGTGGTAGACTCAGCGGGGAGCGGCGAAACAGTTGTGTTTCTTGATTCTGGGTGTAGATGTGAATTGTGTGGAGTAACTAGCCCGAGTGGCTAGTGCGAGGTCTAATGGCCATTTCGGCCTCTGGTAGGTGGGGGAGTAGTTTGTCATAAATAGCGACAGGTGGCGAGGCGGCCCCGGGGAGGATTATGGACCGCCAGGTATCTTGTGGAAAAAAACAGGACTGGAATTGAAAGGAGTAGGAAAGTCTGACAGGAAGGTGGGATGTGCAGCTGAGGTGGTGTTGGGTAAGACGTATTTCGGTGTCTTGCACTGGCCGGGATGGGTGCTGAAAAACTGCGCTCGCCTGGAAACAAGGATCTCGAAATTGAAGTGATGTAGGGAAATGACACAGCATTTTTGCCGTACTCATAACGTAGCGTTGCCTAGAGCTGTATGTAATCTACTTTCCAAGCATGAGCCGAGTGCAAGGCCGGCCATACCTAGGGATCAACGGCGGTGTGGGCTGTGATGACAAGGTAAAAATTAGAGTTCTAAACAAGTCTGCTGGGGGTTACCACCGCCATGCTCGCGCAGGGGCAAACATTTACATTATAACCAGCAGCACAGGTTCATTTCGCTGTGGCATAATTCGCCACTGAAAAGCAAGATCAAATGTGTCTAGCTAGCAGTTCATTTATCCACAGATTTTCTGAATTTTTAAAATCTGAAAGCATTTGAGGGTTCATTGATTCAAATGCATGGAACGGGTAATCGAGTGACATATCACTCGTATAATGGTGCGCAGCGTCACAAGATCGCACTCGACCCATCTAAATTCGTTGGGTATATGGTTTCCTCTTTAGGGGATGCGCCTCTGGGGGGATTTACATCCAAGAGAGATTTGACACTACTACATTCTGCTGGCCCAAGCTATGGCTATTTACAAACAGGATCCCCGGGATGTAGCCTATATATGATCCTGAGGTGCCAGGCGAGAGGATCTGGGTCTTTTATCCACCGAGCAGAGCAGTGAGGGTAGGCCAGGACAACCGGAAGAAAACAAGAGCCAAGTGAAAAGTATGATACCAAACTGGTTATTTTTTCAGATGGCCAATGGATAGATAGTTGGCAACATGTCACATGAACTCCGACAAAATTGTGCATGTTCTTCACTTTAGTAATGAGGAGTTACAGCAAGCCCCCGAAAGCAACAGCAGTACTGCCCGAGCAAGCAAACAAGCACAGAGGTGGGGGTGCAACTGAAGTGAGAAATACAAATAGTTTCTCAAAATCCATTCAAAAAGGAATACTCTGCATCCCTCCTTAATTTACGCCTCGCTGGGGTGTCTGCCCAATGGTACATTTCCCCCGAATTGCCGTTAGAGGTCAAGTTCATCAAACTGTACTATCAGTACTGCACCGGCACTAAAGCCTAGCTTAGAGGGTGGATTGGGGGAGACTCTGGTGGAAGGTTTCTGCATTGATAATACACGAGTTGGTGAAGGTGTTGTATTTCACAATTCTTGGGCACCTGAATGCAAGATGAGCGTTGTGAGAAACCGTTGGGGCCGGGAGAAGATAAGAGAGAGTCTTCGGCATCTTGTAGATGGGATTTAAGATTGAGGAGCTATCGGGGGTAGCGGTACGGCAATCTGGAGGAAGTACGAGTATTGGGGACTTTTTCAGTTAATAAACTTTGAAGTTGGAAATGGAGAAGTAAAGTCTAACATGGAGGATGGATGTGTATCAGGGGTAAGACTAAAGATAGTGTGTATTGCTCTTTTAAGCTGATCAATACAATAGTAGGGATATAGACAAAACAATCCATCTTGTTTGTTTTTCCTTCGAAAGTAGGCAGAACCGGGATCAGTTAAATCTCACTGTAGTATGGCTATTAAGAAGTAATCAAGCACGGAACCGTGAACATAATTGATCTCTCTGAGATACAGTACATCAATAAACCCTCAAACAATTCCAGATACAAGACCCTTTATTCAGCCTTAATATCCCAACTTAGTATCATATCAGTTGGACTCGAGTTCAATGCTCGCAAACTCTAGCTCCTCATCAAGTCCATCGAGCTCAATGACTAAGATCAAGCGGGTGAAATTGATTCGTCTAGTAAGAGACTCCAACATGTCGCGACGCTGGTCAGCGGACTCAGTAGGGAGGTCAAGATAGCAGGTTCTTGCGGAAGCCACGAAGGTGTTGTAGTTCTGGATTTTGGTGTTCCAGGATTCGAGATAGTTGTTGTGCATAACCGCCGTAACGAGTGGAAACTCAGAGTGGGGTTTCGGATCCAGGTGGAATGGGGCAAAGGTAGTGGAAATATTTGGAGCTCGCGGCGCAAGTCCTGAGAAGGAGGATTGACCACGTGACATTTTCTTTTGGCAATCTAGATTTAAAGTTAGAAAGGGATGAGTGAGGTATAAGAGGCCAAGGTAGTGGTATATACCTGGGGTGATGGTATGCTGGAGGAGTGGTGGTCTGCAGCAGGAGTGGTGGGATGTAGGAGGAGTGGGGTTGAAAAAGGACCGTGTTAGAGTGCTGTATTTATCGGAATTCCATGGGACAGCAGAAATTCTAAGATACGAATCACCTGTTCCTTGCGCAAAGAATGAAGGTGCCATAGCCCTTTGACCATGGTAGAGGTGTAGCATCCCTTGGGGCTATAAAAAACTTAATACTGGCTGCAGGGTCAGGTTTGGGAATGACAAGAACATGGAATTGAAGGACTGTTTTAGTTGGGATGGTGAGATGATGGTTCCGGTTATAGCAAAATACATATGATACAACGGGATTTCCTGGCTTCCTTACCGAACCCCAAGAATGCTACATCTATTTCAGAAGTTTTCATGCTGTCAACATGTCTCAGTTCCCTCGGAGACAAGCAGGAGGCAAATTGGGGTGAAACAATCGCCGTCAGTTATCCAACTTGATGTTACACTCAACGCAACTTTCGGGGCTGTTCCAGAGTCTATTGAGCGTGTTACAATTAACACTCTCGTCCCGGAACAAGCGCCTGAAACGTTCTAAGAAGTATACGTTCTTTCTACACTAGTGCGATTCTCCAATGACAAATGAGTTACAATGCTTTTCGACAGAATATATTTGGTCATGAATTATCAATACTAGGCTTACTAGCAATCCTGCAACATTTGAAGGCCCTTCGATCCAAAGGCGTAGGTTGAGGAATGGGGAGGTATACGTGATCAATCCCCAAGTTAGTGCTATCGCAAGATGGCACTCAATAGAGTGAGGCTTCCTAGACATATGGTTTCCTTTGCTGAGAGGAGTTTGCTAAGTCTTTCCGTCCTAGGGATATTTCACTGGGAAAGAGGCGGCTTGTTAACTGACCTAAAGGGTAGTGGCTTGTTAGTGGTCCCGTGGCGTCATGCAAGAGAATAATGAGCTTGGATAGACACAGTTGGCTGGTGAATATTGGGGCTAGCAACCGAAGGGCACAGGAGCAGGAAGGCATCAACCTAACTATTGTTCGTAGGGTGGACTGAGAGATGGTCGGTGGGATATGATCAT